GTCAGTAACAAGAGGTAATGGCTTTAAGTTGCACCAGGGGAGGTTCACATTGGATGGTAGGAAAAATTTCTTCTCAGAAATAGTGGTGGACTGTGGGAACAGGCTGCCCAGGGAGGTGGCAGAATCACCTTCCCTGGAGGTTTTTAAAGCAAAGATGAGGCACAGAGAGCCATGGTTAGCGGTGAAGTGGTGATGAGCTGATGGCTGGACTAGGTGATCTTAGTGTCTCTCCAACTTTAATGATTCTGTGATTCTTTGAGTAGCATTTCAGAAAAAGCAGCTATCTTGCCATGTTATCGTAGTCGGGAACCTGGGCAATACAGCTGCCAACAGCAGTGTGGGAGGGCTGTGAGCCCAGGTGCTCTGCGAGCTCAGCCCAGCTGGGCAGTGCCTTGCTCAGCATTCCCTCCAGCTTCTGCTGCCACGCAAGGTGCCAGTGAAGCTGTTGGTGAAACCAATTTATTTTGGCCCAGCCAAAAACTTATTTTGCTTGGTCTTGCTTAAATCCTGCAAAATATTTTGTCTCAGATGAGATTTTTGGAAGATTGTAGCTCATCTGACCGGCATTAAAAATAGCTATATCCACTGGTCTCTAGAAACAAAGGCATCCTGTTACACATACTCTTTAAGTAATACCTACTGGGATGTTCTTTCTTGTGATTGACAAGATGACCTAAATCAATATCCTTCTATTTCCAGGCCTCTTATTTTAAGGAAATCCACAGCTGTCTTGCCAACAGCAAGTGCAGAGGAGAGGTGTTCCCTGCTGCAATGGCACGAGAGGACAGCCTAAGCAGGGTATGTGGGTTCATGCAGAGCAGGTCCCTCTGGTAGTCACAAGCCTTGCAGGTGCTGCTGCTGCAGAGGCTGCTTGCCCTGGGCTCGCATGATGCAGGGCAGCAGTCTGGGACCGCTGGCTTCTGCTGCTGCTAACCATGCTGCCACAGTGTTTATTCAATACCTAGGAATTTTATTTAAAATTATTTCAGTTCTCTCTCAGCAAGAAGCCCATGAATGCATGATTCAAAGCTTTGATTTTTGCTTCTTTGGAAGGCCTGCGCCTAGCATCAGTCTGTGATCTCACAGGAGGTTACATGCACACAACAACAAAGATGTATCAGCCCAAGTTTAAATTACCCCGGTGACTCTTCTGCTGGAAAATATCTTCACTATTTGTGTGGGCAAGCTGCTCAAAATCAATACGTCCTAAATTTCAAGTGCAAGTGAGGGCTTTTTGCTGGCCTCTCCTGTATGCCCATGCTGAAGCCTATCAATAGATTGTCTATTTTATGAGGTTCTTGATCTTATTTAAATTTTAATACATTTGTATGAGTGATTTTTGAAAAAAGACATATTTTCAATAACATTATAAAAATACGTATTCATAAATATGTTTTAACATTACCAAACTCAAATCTAAGTTTCTGTTTTTCTCACATTGTTCCACAAAATGGTTTCTTTGACTAGTAATTTTGTTTCTCTATTAGCACTGACCTTCCCAATGACCCCTCACTGCTGAATCAAAAGGAATTTTGCTTGTGTAAGATACTAGGAAATTTTCTCAGGAAAGGGATAGTACTTAAGTCTCATACAAAGGAATAAAGGATGATATTTCCCTTGTGATTGATAAACATCATTTTAAAGTTGAGCCTGCTTTGTGGAATGGTGAAAAATGGTTGCAGCAGTTAAAAAGAGGATCAACTATGTAGAAAATAAGAAAGAGTGTGAGTTGTAAGTGTGGAATATGAAATGATTTTTTAGACATCAAGTTAACAAATTAATTTGGCTGACATTGCCTTCAATTTACATAGAAACCATTTTTCGTATTTTCTGGGTAGATCATTTTCTATGTTCTGCTGTGACTGGGGGAAAAAAAACCAAGCAGATGAGTCCTTTAAGGCAAGAGAAAACATCCCAAAAGTCATTTTAACTCATTCCAAGAGCTGTTCAGCAGGCGGAGATTCAGTGAATGACAAAGGAGTGCACAGAGGGAAGCAGGGATGCCAGGTTAACAGCTGGTATCTGAAAAAGGCCAGTTTGCTGTTTCTGTTGGTACCTCTGCATGGAGGCTGGGGTAGACTGTGCTGATCAGGCCATGTTCCAGCAAGAAGGATGTTTCTGACAGGTTGCTGGTCTGGAATTCCTGGCTTGTGAGATCCCAAAGCAAAGCTGGAGTGTGCTTCCACACTGCCATTCGCAGGTGGAAAGCCATTCCGCTTGGACTCAGTGGGAATACCCCACCAAGGGAAGCTGTCCAGGATGGCCTTGTTTCAGTCCTACTCACATATTAGATGTTGCCATTAGACTAGGTAGACATATGCCAGCCCATTTGAGTTCTCTCTCTTCTATCACAGAATTCTGAAGCAATTGTTTTAATTTATGTCTATTTGTTTCTCTAATTCTTTCTTAATGCCTCAAAGTTGAGCAGTTGGTGATAGGACAAAGTTACTCAGAATACCATGATTGCCATTTTTACCTATGCAGGCATGTAATAATATAGGCTGAAAATGTAGGCAAGTTAAGCCTTGCATGGTGACACTGGGCAACTAAAAGAAACCTGTAAACATGCCTATTTACGTAGTTAAGACCATAATTTAACTCAGTATTTTAGGGACACAACATGGAGGGTGTTCACACATCCAAAAAAATAGCACATGCATGAGAGGTCTTAACAGATATTTCTGATTTGTTCCACAGTTTGCAAAACCACAAGCTCTGCTATTGTGATCTGTTTTGAAATTAAACAGTAGCAACCTGTGTGATACAGGCCAATTCACATTGACTAGGAAAACTAAGGTGTTAGGAAGAGAGAAGCAATAAATAAATAAATAAATAATAGGCTGCCTATTCTTCTCTCTTTTAGCTCTGGCACAATTTGGCAGAGATATGGGGAAGGGGCTTTTCACCTCTTCAGGGAGAGACATAAACTTGGACCACACAGTCTCAAACTCTGCCAGCTTGTCATTCAGCTCGTGCATTCAAGATGTTGCATATTAATAGCACTCCTTGATGGCTGGTGGATGTGGGTCTCTTCACCTATACAAAATAAGCCTCTTGGCACAAAAAAGTACAAAAGAGGCCCACATAGGAAAAGAAATGCACTAGAGAACTGCTTTGGAGAAACTCTGCACAGATGCTCATGTGCAGATGCATATTTCAGATGTTCTTTTTTCCTGATTAGCATGCAGCAAACTCACCTGTTTTGATGCCTAGAGGAGTCACAGCAGAAGTAGCAAAACACCTGTGTGAGTTCTTTTTTTTTTCCCTATGAATATGATTTCCATAGCATGCTTTTTCAATTGCCCTTGTGTGTAGCCACTAACATCCTTTTCAGTCTCCCTCTTGGATATGTGTGAGCTGTACAGGGTAGTACTTCAAGATGGAAACAAAGCACAGACAGTGTGAGGAGCTGCACATTGAGAAGGAGAAGGGAATGTGAACTGGTAGCACCAACTCTAATGGCATAGGAGCACTGGCGGCTCAGGCAGGACGAGTTCTGGCACAGCTGAGACAGGAGGATGAGCTGGCAGGAGCTGGGTAAAAATTTGGTACTCCTGATTTGCAAATGTTAAATTTACATGGGGCCTTACCTGAGGTGTGGTCATGAGATCCATGAACAAGAACCAGCCTGCTTCCCCCTGAGCCTGCAATGTGCGGGTGACAAGGAGCATCTGATCCTAATTCTCACACTGTGCTCTGCGGGAAAATCCTATGTATGCCACAGAAAAAATAGACTCCTTTGTGCTCTGCTCCATCATAGTTCACTCCACTGGCAGAAAGCACAGCTCAATTCTATGTGTGTGTTTTGCAAAAAATGAGCCTCGGGTGGAGAAGGCGGAGGGAGGGTTACTTGAATGTGTGTGGGTATCTGGTGCAATCCACAGTGTGAGCCACGTTTTTCTGGCTATTTCAGCATATACTGAGAATGACACATGAACAGTCCAAGCTATTTTCAGAATTGACAGTTTTTCTTTTCACTCTGATAATTGCTTCTTTAATACAGTAAAGTATGCAAAGTGCTTCAATAAACTTTTAATTAGGAATGGGAGTAACGGTGAAACTAAGAGAAAGCTTTAGCCAAAGCTAGAGCTGACCTTGGCTCACACCTGTGTTGAGCTTGATTCACTTTTGAAAAGAAATCGCGTATCTTGGCATTTGTTGGTTTGTGGCAAGCAGGTGTCCTGAAGAAGGGCAAGAAATGTTGGTTTTGTGGTATTTTTGACTCAGGAAAGACCCAGCAGAAATCCTCGTTGGTGAGAGTCAGGAAATAAAGCAGCTTGGGTGTGTTTTGATCTCAGATGTCAAATACTTCTTTAAATCAAAATATTCAAAATATGTGAGGTTTTTAAAAAGCTCTGAAATCTTCTCAGATCCGTACAGCTGAGAACAGATTACAAGCAGAATTCTCCGGATTAATCTGAGATGGATTTTGCTGCAGTGGCAGCTCTTCGACTGAAGCCTGCTGATTGACACCAAGAATGGGAATACACTGTGAAGGGGGGTCTCTATTTTCTCTTAATCTGTCTAAATCAATTAAGCGTTTGAGATGTGGTAGTGTATTTTCTGGGAACTTAATTTCTCATCCTGATGAGAAATGTAACCAATCCCTTTTGACTTTGCAAAGGAAAATGCATCCCACAGAGCTGCGTGCAGTGTATGTAGAAATATATGTTTAATGAAAAATGAGAAATTATGGATCAAATAACTATGTGGAAGCCACTCTCACAAACAATGAAGATCATACTGGATGAACTCCAAATATCATTACTATTGTTTAATATTAGCTCCAGTCCTGCATCTGCATAAGATAGTGTCAGAGATAATAATCTCACCAGACCGATATAAACTGCAAAACTGAAATTACCTTGCCCAATTACTTTGTTTTTTCTGGTGGTGTTAAATGACTGTTTTTGTCTGAATCATGCAAGAGAGCTGTGATTTTTACCTTTAAACTCCTCTGAAAATGCAGCAGTTTAGCATGAATGCCTATTTCTTTCCAGACTACGTTATGTGTGAGTTTGATAGGAGTCACCATGGTGAGGAAAGGAATAATGGATTTTCAGGTAAGACATCTTCATAATGAATTCACTCCTTACACCATGTTAACGCCCACACATGGAATTAAGGACCTCTGTAACACAATGCAACAATTTACTAGAAATCACAAAACACCAATAATAGAATTGGATTGAAATTGGCTGCCAAATCCTCTGTCTCTGATAAAAGAAGGATAGGTAAAGTTATGCCAGCACTTTTTAACTCCTTCCTATAACTTGCTGTGGGTCCACTGTGCATTTTCTAAATGAGAAAGGAGGAGATTGATTGCAGTGCTATGTATGCAACACAAAATGCATTTAAAAAAAAAAAAAAAAGTTTCAGGAACAGCAGTGAATATAAACTCAATTCAGATGGTATTTATTTAAATAATTACAGCAGTTCGTTAACTTGGATAATCTCCTGATTTACGCAAGTGAAAAAAGGAAGAGTCAGGTTCCATATTGTATCTTTGGATTGATAAAAGTAAGCGAGCCTTTATGGAAGAAGCATGTGAATGAGGTTCCTCAGCTGACATTTTAGAAAAGCACAATCAAACACCAACATTTTACAAAGGACTCTTAAATCCTCAGACTGAATATTGTCTGTTTTCACCGGTAGCAGAGTACCAAACTGTAAGCAGAACTGAGCAGGATCTGACTTTCCATCACAGACAGTTAATAATTAAATCAAACATTATATTCAACAATAGAACATATGCATCAGCTTCTTTCAAATTGCATTTCCTTCCTGTTAGATCCATTAGTGTAAACCAGACTGCCTTTAGAAAACCCCTTATTGCTGCTGTCTTTCAGCACAGTTCCTGAAATGGATAATGTGGTGCATATTATGGTCAATTACACAGAACTCCCTAGTGATAGGGTTTTAGAGTTTCAGAATAAAACAGCTGGAACTACAGGGCTGTAAACTAATCTGAAAAAGAGACAATAGTAAGACATTTGATGCACATTGTTAGAACATGGACAAAGACTAGATGTGAAATACTACCTATCACCATGCCTACTGTATCTCACAGCATCTTCTCTACAAAATGCCAGTTAACTCTTGAAAGCCAAGACAGTCAAAAGTGAAAGATTTTGCCATCAACAGATGTACACACAGCTCTGTGACCTAAGCAGAAACATTAAAGGAGGAACTTGATACAGACTCCTTTTAATATCAATGGAGTTTGAGTCAAACCCAGAACCCTATTCAAAAATGATAATTTGTTTGTGAATGCGTAATAAATATATACTTACACATTCTAAAAAACTTTGTCCTTCTCTCTTTTATTAATTGGAGAAGCAATGAAAAGTGAGCATTTTGGATGCAAAAATTGCAAGTGGTTTTGGATATATCAAGGCTACTGTTAACAATATGCAGTGCTTGATCCTCCATCAATACAAACTGACAGAAAAGCTCCCATTAATTTTAGTAACACAGGAGCGAATGTTTAGAATAACATATGCATCATTTGGAAGCACAGTGACCATGATTACATGTGTAATCACAGTAATTGTGCACACAGTTGCTGGTTGGGTATCTAAAACTGCTTTTCATAAATCAGTTTCTCTGCTTGCATGTATACTCACTGCAGCCACTTGTGCAAATACAGTGCAGCCCAGAGCATCCCTACCTTTGTGCTTGCCACTGACGTGATACAGAAGAGGGCTCTATCTGTTGCTGTGTGTATGTGGGATAGAGAAGCATATGTTTTTGTTGCAGTGGTGTGAACAATAAATAAGAAAGGAAGAAAAATTGTTGCAGTGTCTATTTGGGAAAGTAAAAGTGTGAAACTACTACAACTAATTTTTCAAAAGGACAGAGACTGATTTTCACCGGCTCCTTTCTTGCAAGCCTGCTTATCAGCAGGGTCCAGCAGGCATCAACATGTTCACATTTTGCAATGCTGTGGCAAAATAATCAAATTATTTAGAAAATAACAGCACCATACTGCAATAAAATAAAAAATAAGATATGAATTAAATAATAAAATAAGCGATGAATACAATTTTGCATTAAAAAAAATCAAATTTGCAATTTAGGCTGCTATGAATTTCTTACATCATGAAATGTGAAAATGAGATGTTCTTCCTAGCTACAGTTAAAAGATTTGCTCCTCTATACAGAAGATTGATTTTTATAGTCATAACAGTGGAAAAAAGCACATCCTTTGTAGACTTCCGGATTCATCCTTCTGCTCAGCAAAATGGTAAATTCTACACAAAACATTTTATTCTTCTGTCTCTTACAGTCATGGCTTCCTTCTTCCCCCGGAGAGCAATGAGTCTGTTTCCCTTTTTCAATAACAGCTTTATTACAGCATGTTAAAGGGAAACAAGAAGATGAACAGACCGGGCCTGGCTGTGCAGCGATCACTCTTCTGAGGAGCCTGTGTGAAGAGATGCTGGTCTGGGAGTCAATCTGAGGAAAAGCAGAAGATATTTGCTTTATGTAAGTAAATGCGGGTGCAGAGTCCTATTGTCTCAGCATGAGTAAGCATTGAGCAGTTTCCTAAAACTTCATTGTAGTACTTGAATCCCTTCTTTATTCTTTACAGGCATTCTGCTGATAATCGAAGCAAATTTTTACTGTAATTTCATTAGAGTAGATGTGGCGTAACCTCACTGAAGTCCAATCAGAGAGAATTTCAGCGCTGTACGTTGTTTATGGTCTGCAATATTGCAAATAGGAGTTGTGCATGTGGACTGAATTCAATATAAAGCATTAAACACTATCTCTTTTGTAATTAATGCAAGAGCTGTATGAAGTCTGCAAGCTAAGAAATCCCGCAAGTCCTGTAGAAAATGTTTGTTGTTTTTTTTATGCAGATCTGAAGTATTATTCAAGTTCACTCCAGAAGACAAGAGAACTGTTGGTACATGATTTATATAAAGCTCTAAGACCTGGTGCTGAAGGAAACTTCTCTCAGAAGTGTGCGTTTATTTTTTGATACCTTTGGTGATACGTGCTGCTTCATCTACCATCTCTGTAAGTGTGGTCTCACTTTCACTGTTATTGAAACGTGTATCAAGTGAAATGAAAACAGAAATTTGGGAAAGGATATAATTAACCTACCTGTGAACATTAACCTTAAATATTGTGCTAATTACCTCAATAATTTAATCACTGCAGATCTCAAACTCGTTTGTTAAATATTTAATTCTGCAAATTGTTTCTGATACAGAGGTGTGGGTAGCTTTCTGTGAATGTAACCTTCTATATAAAACTCCTTACAAAACCATTGTATATTTGCACTTCAGCAAAAAAATCCACCGTCAACAAGACTTTTAATGGCAATCACAGAAAACGTTCCCTGGGGCAAAGAGATACAGTGCCCTACTACTCGTAAATCTAATGAGCGTGTTGTGTGCCGAGTAGGCCACAGCAAATTTCTGTCTGCACATCTTCAGGTTTGATTCCATGGTAGTCTAGACTGGAAAGTTTCTTTTGCCTTGTTTCTTTGGCTGTGGTGCAGTTGTGTGGTTGTTTCTTAGCTGTATACCTGATTACTTGAGCAGCTAACCACATTATGTCCTTGAACTTCATCTCTTCTCATCAAGTGAATATTTTGTGCTGCTTCTAGGCCATGGGGTCACCCCCAGCCACTGCCGCTGGGCAGCAAAAGCCAGGCCATGGGAGCTGGGCAAACTGCCAGGTGGAAGGATGGCTGGCAGAGAGGTGGCAAGAGGTGGGGGGCCGGCCCTTACACCCTTGGCACCTCAATCTTCCATCCCATGGAAAAAACAAGTCACCCTTCCTTCGTCTTTTCCCAGGGGCATCAACCAGCCCTGTGTTTCAGGCTGTACCGGATGGCAGTACTTCTTTGTTTTTGTAATGTATGTCTCACTTACTGAGAAAGAAGATGAAGATTGGCTTTGACATTGTGTTGCTGCACTGTAAATTTTACTATTAGAGTAAGGTGCAAAGGTATCCTAAATCCGTCTGATGGCTCACACCAGACCTCTGTCAGGAGCTCTCTGATTAGGTGGGTGTTCACTGTAAGTGCTTGTTTGGGACTACATTATTACCTTATCATATATTATTCAGAATTTCTTTCTGATTGCCTATATTTATTTACTACACACTTGTACACATAATTCATACTGTTTAGTTCATCCCTGGCAATAAGAAACAAATTTCTGTAAATTTAACTGAATAAAGTTGTATTTGCCTTGTTAGTCATCAGAAGTCTGGTTCCTTCTTATGCATTACCTGAGTTTCTGGGCATTTTTTCCCTTCATTTACTCAAAAAATGACTAATGAATACAGAAAGACAGCCAAGACAGGATGAACTTTTGGACAATTTATGCAAACACGACAGATGAGAATAGATTTACTATAAACATGTCAGGCACAAAAGACTTGACTGCTTTTTAAATACAGTGATACTGCAAGAGATTTATGGATATTTTCAACTGTTCATTAAAGAGAAAAATATTTTGAAACTATAGGCACTCTCCTTTTATCCATTTTTGCCTTCCAGGCTGAGTTGCAAACCTTTGATGTTTTCTTCACCAAAAAATAAAAGTAGTTATGAATTTATTTCTCCCAAGCACTTTCATTTTTGTGTCAATTTACAGTTTTTATTACATTCCTGGCAGTCCAAATTATGGTGTTTGGAGAGCAGCTAGAGTCCCCAGCTCAGAGTTTTCTGAAAATAGGGATGAGGTTCACTTAATGATGCTTTCTGGCACTGCCTTTTTTCTCCTCCTATAGTAATAAAAGGTTAATAAAATCTATGAATACTTTAATGGCCTGCTCAAGCAACCAACCAATTAAAGGTTATTTAGATCTAAATGACTGGTAGCCACTCAAAAAAATTAACATGCAATGACTGGTACCTTCTGGATCAGATTAAGAAAATGAGAATTCTTAGATATGAAACTGTACATAACATAATCCTGATAGTTGACCAAGGTATCAATTCTTACTGCCAGACAGGTATATGCTTAACTGCATCTGTTTAGAATCTACTTCTGTGCCTATGTAAATCAATAATAAGCCTTCCTTTCAACTTTAGTGCAACCGAAGTTGTTGTCTGTCAATGATTTTGCAAGCTAGGATTGAGCTAATGGAATAGTTTAATGAAATTAGGGGATTCTTTCTAAAATCATATTAAACTCAAAGAAGTAGTAGGGAATTTGCACTTGCATTAGTTCTGAAAACCATTGTATCTTGCCAGATTTCCTAGGAAGTCAAAACACTGCACCAAAATGGTAGCAGGAAGGATTGTGCAGTGCTGGAAGATCTCATCCTGCCTGCTTATAGTGCTGACTGTGCTTCTGCTTTTTGAGAAGACAGGAGAAGAAAGATGGAGAAAGAGGAGATGAGAAGATTTGGATGGAAAATAATACAGTTTTCATTGCAGACTTAGAAGGGTATCTACAATTTTGTAGCATCATGATTTGAGTGTCCAGAGAACCTCCAAAATAAGACTTAAGACCTTAATGAAGGTTTTATTTTGGAGAGAATACAAAAAGCAGCTGACAGTATTTTAATAGTTTTTTCTGGACTTGCCTTTTCAGCCTCTTAAAATTAATTGAAGAGCCACAGACCAACACACATTTATAAATAACATAATGCAGTTGGGGATAATGCAAATGTCTTTATAAATAACACAGTATAGCTTAAATCATTATTTTTAATGCTGCTGTTTTTTGTTCCTATATGAACAGGTCTGTACTGGTCTGCATTAATTAAATTTAAGTAGGATTTCTAAGGCCAGATCATCATTACTTCTGTGGACCTGATTTAAGTCTGCAGTAAAACATTTCTCCATTTAGTCTGGTGCTTTTGTGTCATATTTCATACACTAGTTGTCTCTTAATTAAATCCATGATGGCCCACCAACACAGACTATTAAAATAACTATACTTTGCACTTGACATATTTATGATACAGATTCATAAGAGTATAGACTGATACTTGAACTACTCACTGAGAAATGCTAATAAGATTATGATGAAGGTAAGATTAGAACATTCGTCTCCTTTTCTCTTCTCTCTTCTTTTTAGAAATTTATTTTTATAACCACAGTTCACTACGTCTATTTCGGGCTCTTCGATGTTGTATATACCAGCAATTCTTTCTGTCTGTATTTATTTATACCACTTCAGGAAAGTGCTTAAGTGTTGTGTCCTTGAAGTATGAATATGTGCAGATGTCTGTAGAACCTTCGCATGGGATTGACGTGTTCAAGATATTGCATATTAAGAAATAGGCATAGCTTTGAAATTGAATGAATGTAAAATATTGATTATCACAAAGAGCTTCATTGCTTTATCTTTATTGCCCTGTTCCTTGAGCTGTTCTCTGTTAGGGCCAGCAATGTCTGCTCCCTCTGGGGAAGGAGGTAGCAGTACTGTGCCTGTGGTCATGTGCTGCATACTGGCATGCTAGGCAGGATGTGTCCTAGCCCAGCTTACAGGTGCACAGCACAACATTTTTGCATGGATTGGTCTGTGCGATTTGCTCTATGCCTTTTGACTGTCACTGCACTTTGAAATTGTTTGGATGTATGCTCTCAGCAATTAGGAAAGACAAGAAAAGGAAATCATATCCATGAGTAGTATGACTTGAAGGGTTGCGTGGTATTTGTTAAGACTGCTCTTTTTGTGTGCATGAATATCTGGCAATGGCATTCCTTTTCGGATCGTTTATTGACAAAGTCAGTACCGATATCATTTGATATTTTTTTAAATAAAGTGAAAGTGGTGGGTTCAAGGAATTCCATTTTTGAGAGCGAGGACAATAGAAGTGATAAAGCTGCTATCTGGATGGTCTAAAATCAGCAATGATTTCAGTTGCTTTTCAAGACCAAGACATTCCCCTCTTATGGACCTTCTCCTTCTTTCTCTCCCTTTTTTCCAGTTATATCTTTCATGGAAAGGCTCCTGTACATCACTGAATCCAAGTGTGGGCACAATTGCAGATGGCTGTAAATACATGCAGTTTGAAGGATATTTATATTATCAGTGTGGTGTATAGAAACCCAGATCTACATGGTGTTCTGATTTCTTTGGTGATGATACATTACCGTGCTTCACACTGGTATTTTCTATGAAATTATTGTAAGCATAAGATACTGAGATTTCATTTACAAATAAATACAATATTAGAAAGTAAGAATAATAAAGATATATTAAATATATGATCTTCTCGAGAAATAAACCAGCTACAGTTCAGGGAGCTTCACTAAACACATTAAATCTAATAAAATCGCCTACATGTACTCCTGACACTAGTAGTAATTAAAATAACTTGTTTCAAAAAATTGGTCCTATACATGAATACTTATTGGCAATTATTTCTAAGTTCTTCAAACCAAAGATAACGTAATTTGATTCACGCACAATGTTCTTGTAAATGTGGTTCATAGTGGGTTTTATATGCAGCTTAGGACTGTTAATTGCCATTTTGAGCCTCACAGTAAAATAGAGTTCAATATGTCGCTTTTTCTGAAGTATTGAGAAATGTTTGAGAAATGCTTGTCTTAGTCTAATCAACTGTGAATAATTTATTTCTGAGTCCTACTTTTCAGTATAAGTGGATCTGACTTTTCTCGGAGCTTCTAAAGTCTAATCAACTTGTTATATTCATTTAATTAGGAAAGTCTGTAACGAACTGTGAAGTGTATGTACCAACAGGCTTTCTTGTTGTGTAAAATGGGTGTATTTTCCCTGTGAATGCAATTGTGTTTGTTTGTACTGACAGGTAGCCACTACTAAACATTTCAGGTTTTTATGGGTACATCTAGGTCAATATGCATAGCACATAGATGTTTTCTGAGCTGCCTTTTCTCCTTATGCTCGGACAAAAGGTCTTTGACCCTGGTCTAAAATATTGCCCGGTGCTTATGGGATGTAATATGAAAATCATCAAAACTGTCCTTGGCAGGATGTTTCTTTCCATTAGTTAATTAAAGTGGTTTATTATTGCCTACAGCATGATTGCTTTATATGTGTTTTTTTTGTTGTTGTTTTGTTGTGGTTTTTTTTTTTTTTACAAAGAGCAGATGTGCCCATGTCCTGCACTGTTTCTCTTTGTTTTGATAAGTGCAGGAGTGAAGTCACTGCCTGGCAGATCTCTCAGTGATGTCTCAGAAGGAAAGGAGAGCGCTGGTGGGGCTGTGCAGTGGCAGCACAGGGAGAAGTGCTGGGGCTGTGTGATGGCACGGAGACGGCACTGCAAGGAAAGAGGAAGAGTGAGTGAACCTGCGAGCAGCACAAGCCCAGGGCAGAAACAGACATCATCTGGAACTGTCTGCCCACCAATGCTTTAGAAACAACACTGATGATAACAAAGTGGGTATTGGTGTTTTTTCAGATTGATACCCCTAACATTTTGACTGAGTATGGAAGTGAGGAGTAGCTGATCCTAACATGCTGGACAAGATTGCATGAGACTTGAAACTCACTCCTACTAAGAAAAAAATGGAAAACTCCAAGTCTTCAGAACAAATCTGATTTTTGTTTTTATGTCTGCCCGTATTTGATGCGGGAGTTGAAATCAAAATCCAAATTATATTTCCAGATCTAGGGGTCATTTTAAGTACCTTTCCATCTCCCTAGCACAGGGTTTTTCTAAGACTCGTTGACATCTAATGATAATAAGGTCTTTCATTACAGAATCACAAAATACTCGGCCTGTGGCCTTATGTTCAATTAATATTTATTTAATAATCATAGGTAAATTAATTTCCATTGTTTCTGTTCTAATTCTATACGAGATTGTGAGATACAACTAGGGAAAAGCACAGAGAGCCTGAGTAAATGTTGCTCATAGAAAATGTTTCTATTACCCTTTACTTTTAAAACCATTAATAGATTATTAGGAGATATAAACATAGGAGACCATGGATCATATTTGCATATTAATGAAATCCATGAATTATACATTATTTGCTATAGAGAGTACTAGGAACAGTACTCCTTCTTTTTTAATGGCTATAAAAGCTGGCGTTTTCCTGGAGCACACATCACATCCCCTCTGCAATACCTTCTAATAGAAAGCAAGCAAGCCAGCTCTTCAAAGCAATCTCTCACTAAATTTAATAGATTTGTTTGTGTTGCTTTGCAACACACAAGTGTGACAGTTCATTTTAAACAAAATAGTTTTAATAATGTCATTACTAATATCTGTTTGGTCATCTCTCTGAAAAATGGTGTTTTAATGGGAATGTTTCATTTTAATAAATGGCAGAAGAGGCAAGCTGCCCTGAGTCAGCAGGAAGTGGATATACACCAGAGAACAGGCTGATTGTGTTAGATTCATCCAGAACATTGAACAGCACACAGACAGTCCAAGAAAAAGCAACTGGCTTTATTCAAATGATTAGTCTTGCTGCTACGCTGTAGCGCAGATTCACACATTCTTCTATTATTCCTTGACCTTGTGCCAAAAACTCCCACTTGAAGTAATAATTAGAATTAGTGTTTCCAGTGCATGCTTCCATCTTCCTAACAAACAGTAATGAAATGTGGCTTTTACAAAATATGCAGTTAATTAAACTTTTTAAAAACATTGGTTGATTAATACAGTTCCTCTGTGCTATCCCCTTGCTGTACCCAGCTCTTTCTACCTGATATTGGTGAACCAGAAGAAACGCAGTGAGATGAGGGACAGTTTGGAAATTTGCACTTCAATATTGGTTATATTTATTTTCTTTTCTTTCTCATTTTGACTCTGTCTAGGCATAAACTGGAAAGATGGCCATTATTTGTAATCACAGGTTTTTAAGCCCAGGACAGTGTGCGCATTATATAACTGCTCTACGCATACCTTCAGCATGAATATGAAGAATACATATGTCAAGAGCTACAAGGTAATAAGTGGATTTCTAGGCAGGCTGTTTAAAGAGGTGGCTCAGTACTGTATTGCTTAATAACACTATGCAGATAGAAATTCAGATTTCATTTTTTAAATATTATTTCCTGCTTTTTTACTGTCTGCTTTAATTATCCCAGTGCCAAACAAGTGTAGTCTTTTGATTGATGAGAGTTCCACCCCTTTACCCACACCCCTGCAGATATGAGGCTCCACAGTTTAGTACCATAAATCACTGTGATTGTATAACTTAACTACTGTATGATCAGAGATCACATACAGTGTTAGCCTGAACACACATTCATCCTTCGTTATGAATGTTTTTGGGCTAAATTTATTCTGGCAGTTTGAAGAAATATAAGTTTCTTCATGGAAGAAAGCAATGCATTTTAAATAAGCAATTCTTTCAACAACTAGAAATAATCACAAATGTCTTCTATTTGCAATCTTCATTAATGTGAGTTATTTCATCACTTTAGGAGAAATCCTTTTCAGAGAAAAACAACAATTAAACCCCTCCTCCCCGACAGGCTCTGACAGCTAAGGATCTATGGATCAGCCATTTTAGTAATTAACCACAATTCCTCTGATTTGTGAATTTCCAGATGATGAGGCAGGAAGCAAGTTACATCTTGGAGAAATTGCCCTCAGGAGAGAGGAAAAACTATTGCGAGGTTGACAGCACAACCTTGTAGCAGCGCAGTTTGCCTTTCCCAGTGGTTCAAGGAGTTCCAAGCACCCTCTTGTAAATCATCGGCTCACATCTATTTATTATCTTCCAGCCCAGTGCACAACACTATCTGTTACACACGGATACCGGCAATATTACAAGGTGGACTCCAGGGATAAGAGACAGCCAACCCCGCACACCTCCCACGCCTGAGTCATACCCGGGGTAACGCCAGGTCCTGCTCATACCTGCTGTCGGCAGAAATGAAACAGTACGAGCTGTTGTGTTTCAGAGCCTTTTTTAATTGATTCTCCAGAATGCTTGATCTTACCTGCTGATATCCCTGTGTTATTATTCAGAGGCACAGTCTATCTGCATAGCAATGGACAAAATGCCTGTGAAAATATTGCTATTCATTCAGTCGATGCCGGAACTGGAGTAGGCACCAGCTACACTCTGCAATGCTTGTCCTGGAATATTAATAAATAAATCATAAAAGCCAATGCTTCAAATATTGAAAAATTCACACTTCAAACTGTGTTTTGAACTATACTGAGAGCAATGTCTCAGATTGTCCTTTTGCTTTATATGAACAGAGGAAATTCAAAGTAGGAGGAACTCTCTCTGGGGATTTGGTGTAGGGGAGTGCCACAAACCATCATCCTTCCTGTCTCTGCCATGCCAGAGTGGCCTCTCCTGGGATGTGCCATGAGGAGCAGACAGCACATCTGGGGAGCTAATGTGGCTTCAGATGAAATTATCTCCTGCAGAATCCATCTTGGCTGACAGCAACGTGCACGCAAAGCAGCCAGGCAGTGGCGGGGAGCCAGGTCACAGCAGGGCAGGTGAAGGCTCGGTGGAAGGCAGCACCTCCCTGTGACTGTCTGGGTTAAACAAAGTTCCTTGCCACACTGGTTATCCTTCTATTCAGGGCTCATATTGGTAAGCTCAATGTCATTGAAGCCCCCAGCCCTGCTACCCACTTGCAGTGCTCTCTCGCTGCAGGTCCTGACTCACAGAGTGCTGCACGGTGTGCTGTGCATGTCCGCTGTGCAAGGAAGGGTGAGGGAAGATGCGCTCTGAAAGGTATGCTCTAGTTCAAGAATTGCTAGCTGGGCTGGTGTCTGAACTGCAGAATGGGTTTCCGTGGTGCGTGTCATGCAGGGGGCTGCTTGTAGGCACTTCTGATGGTTCCTTTTTTTTTTATTTTGCTTTAAAAGCATTGAAATTAGCCAAAAGCTAAAGCATATAATGGTATTTTGTAGTTTAATTGTGAATACAAGGCTGGACTGGCACTGGAAGTCACTCAGGTACATCTAGTCAAAGGCCAGAAGAATAAGCACTGCGGGTATTCAGTGCTTTATCTGATTAGAAAAGCCTGGCACAGATGTGATTTCTGCTCCATATATCAAGTTATGGCAGGCTTTTGCTGCTTCATTATGAAAGCATGTGAAGTAAAATAGGTTTTGGAACATAAAAAATGACAAATCTGGGAAAATATCTATATACCAGATGGGTGTAGGAAGAATCTTTGTGACAAATATATTATTAAGGGAATGCGCATAAGGAAAGAAACAGTGCCCCTCTCCTCCAAGGATGGACAGGCAGGAAGGTGGCGTCTCACTGTGTCTAATGTATTCTCATCTAGCCTAAATCTAATTAATTGTATGGCATCGCTGACATAAAATCTAGGCACCACATGCAATAATCATAAGCTTCATCGGGGTGCTGGTAGGACCTGGCGAGTACTCTGCCATCCCCACTTTGTTCCCCTGGACGTCTCACAGAGGAAAGCTGCTGATGCAGGGCCCTGGCTGCGCACCATGGGCAGATAGTGGCCGCTCACCTCCTCCCCTCACTGCCACACTCCATCATCCTCCTCTGAGGCACTGCTTGGAGGGGCCATGTAGGAATGGACATTATCTGTAGGTTCCAGCTTGAGGCACCTGCAACCTGGGGGACTCTGCAAAATGCTGCCCTGCTGCATGGTGCAGAGGTCTCAGCTTTCCCTTGATGCACACCTTGTTGGGGTTTTGCTACATACCTGGTTTAGACTGAGGGTGCAAATGACCTAACCATGATTAGTGTGTTCAGAATTGAAGTAGAAATGAAAAAGGGAGGAAGGTGGGGCAGTCCTGTCGCTTGGCTTCCTGTAATGCGATTTCACTGATGCCCTATCAGCTATCTGATTGCTCTTTTCCTACTTACACCAAACAAACCGGGAGGCTTTTGCTCACAGGCTTCTAGTACTATTTTATTTGGCAGTTATGGAATAAAAGAATTTTAGTGTTGCCTTAGAGTTTCTCCTGACATCTATCACAACCAATCCAGCTCATATGTGGGTGAAGTGTGTTTTGATCCAATTATACAATTCTACTGGAGCCTTGTTACATTCTCATCCCATGTGCATGTTGAAAAATTCAAACGCAAAAGAAAATTCTACAAAATGTTTCTTACTTACTATAGGCTTGGAGACACAAAGCTAGACCACAGTGCTACTTGTGGAGACTAGTAGCAAACTAGAAAACAACATATTCTTCAGGAAAAATAACAAAAAACGACAGAACGAACCAACAAACCTGTTAATCAGCAGCAAGATTTAGAGGGGGAATAGTACAATCTGTGTTATAAAGAATATTGCAGACAGACTTTGGGGACACAGCCTTACTTCTGTTAATTGCAGCAACAAGAACTTTTTTGGTGTTCATCACAATAGTTATAATGACAAAGCATCTGCCAGTTTGAAGACATTTCTGAGGTGCATAAAAATGACAAATTTCAAGAGAACCCAGACACAAAATGGCCAAGACAATGCAGCTAACATCCCAATGGATCATAATGACTATAATACTTAAAAAACTGATATATTTCCCACACTTGCAATATCTTTATGGCAAAGATGTATTATTAAATCAACAACCCATGTGCTATTTGATTACCATGATGCATAAATTGATCGAGGATATTTCTGGCTCATCATTTCCACTGTTTTCAGGCTGAGAAACATAATGTAGGGAATTAAGTGTTTCCTTTGCTCATCTGCTGTAGAAAGTCGTACAGCTTCATGAAGCACTGCTCCTGGGAGAAGAGGTGCACTTGCTCCAAAGATTTGTGGCTCCATCATGGTGGGCTCTGACATGCCCACACACAGAATGCAGGTCCTAACACTCTGGTGGGAAGATGCCAAGACCAAATCAGCATCTGAGGGCCACCCAAGCTGTTACACAAGCACAGGTGGCTCTGTGGACAAACCCTGATGACAGTACAAGGAGCATGTCTTGGAGCTCAACTGCAGCTGGGAGAAGATTCCTGAGCCACTACTCCTCCTTGGTTAATTAAGTTCTGCCTGCCTTTAATTCCAGTAGATTAATAATCAGTCCAGCTTTCCTTATATCGGAGGCTGCAGAAAGGTTCTTGGCCTCCAGTTCTGAACCCTGCCTGTGTCTCTGCACCTCACGGGAGGGTGGAACACTCAACACATCTCCCCACAGTTCCTCTCGGTCATCCTGAGCCCTGTCATTAAGCTCCACCACAGAAATCTGTTTAGTCACAGAAGCAGATTGCTTCCATGAAGCGCAGAAATGTAATTTGCCAGTACTTACACTTACAATATTAAATAGTAGCAAGTAGATCTTTCACCTTTTCAATTCTTTATAGCAAAAAATACTTGGTGTGAAAATCTCGACTCTACAAGAGTCGATGATAAAATCTGCATCAACGGCAGAGCTGCTTTTACCCTCAGCACGGTGAGTGGTTTTATTGGTTTTGCATTTAAAGCTGTCCTAATACATCCATGCTTTCAGCATAAGCCCAGCATCCTCATACACTTGCAAAGCCAAGAGCTCACCTCCCTGCTGCCCTCAGCCTGCACCTGGCCCATTGAATGGATGTACAAGGTTTAGCACATGCTAGGGCTGTTCTCCCATGGAAATGGATAGCCTTGTCGGCTCTGGAGGCACAACACACTTGAGTGCAGCCATAAGCCACCACGCCTCACCCCAGGCTCCAGCCCACTGTAGTTAATCATTAAATAATTCCCCTGGTGATGTTATCCAGTGCTGATAAATTACAGATTTCATTGTTTTGCCTGGAGCAGCTTTAAATTGTGTTAATTTCATCAAAGATTGACACTGGCTTTTATTTCCTTTTGCTGCTGTTTTGTCCTGTAAAGGAGATGCACACTATAGACTTCAGATTGCTCACATAATTGGCACAATATTTCTTTTCTCATATTTTGAAAAAATTGTAATCAGAGCCTTTGAAATACAGAGAACTTTTGGATCAATAAAATACTAATTGCAGTGTATTCAAAAGAGGAATATTACTGCAAATTCAATAGCTTTTAAAACAACCTTATTGTTGACCATGTTTGTTTTACATGTGATCTCAGAATGCTTTCTAATTTTAAACAGTGTTGAATTTATTCCACCTACAGCACACGTTTCTGACACAGGGTTTTCTCAAAAACTGAAGATGAAATACATTATACATATTCCTGATTAGCCAAACCATCATCAGTCTGATTCTCTCTTTTGGCAATAGAAACAATTTCCCCAGGTAGTCCTATTCTACTCACTCCAAAGAAAAGGGCAATCTTGAGTTCGTTGGATTTTGATCAGACCTTTTATGGCAAATTTTGCCCACTTTGGAACAAGGAACATAATGGTTCAGTGTGTGTTGAAGAATAATAATACGTGTTGATAAAACAGATGCAAAAATTTGGAGCTGTGATTTTCAATTGCAAAATTGATATTAAATATTTTTGGTACCAGAAGCATTTTGATGCGGTACAATAGTCTGTTCTGGTAAGTAAGAAGATGTTTTTATCGTGCAGTGCTGCATCTCCCCGAGCAGTTCTGAATTCTGCTGAGAAATATTGAATAAAACTTCAAATTCTGATTGAGGCCCCATGTCACTGTTGGTGTTTTTAAGACACCTCCTTCAACACTTTCACAGGGTATCTAGGGTATTATTATTATTTTAGCACATAGCATAACACAGTCTAAACCACTGCTTTGCTGTAAATGTGCGGAGATGTTTATTATTTCATGAGCTGTCCGGTGTGCAGACGCTTTCAACGACCCTGACCAGCCTCACCAGGAGCCTCCCACTCCCTAACGATGGGCCCAGGAGCTCTATTTAACCTCAGCCCAGGCTCACCTGTTCTTTTTCATAATGCTGTAGGAGCATGGGTTCTCTGCTTAGTTACAGCTGTAGTTGCCTACAGATCCTGGCTTGTTCACGGATCTCCTGGCTGAGCTGCAGATCTGCCCTGTCCCTGTGGATATGTCTGGCAGTCTGTGGATTATCTCTCATCCTGATCTTGCATAGTGGGTTGACCGCCTATCTTGACTTCAGACCTGTGCCATCCTGTGAGTTGTTCTAGTAACGGGCTGGTGGTTGAAGCTGGCTCTATCCCCAGAGCTGTACTTCTCTCCTGGCTTGGTACTATGGGATGGATCTGCCTGGTGGTGCTCTCAGTTCCTGCTTCTCTGTCCTGCTGGGATAAGGTATGGATTAGCTAAGGTAAATTACTCTGTTAAACATGTTCTTAACTGCAAAGAACCTGCCCTGTCTGTATTTTTATATTTTGTGCTGACTGCTTATAGGTGCTAAGTTTAATATCTCAGGGTGTCTACTATGCCAAAGACAGTTTTGGTGAGCCTAAGCTCCTTTCCCACTCTTGGGGATGGGAGATGCCATCTGACTGTGTGCCTTCCCTGAAGCTGCCATTTCTCTTCTGCTCCAATGCCCAAATATATCTTTGGTTTCTAATCAGTCATGAGAAACTTTTGACAAATCCTTGGAGTCTACATCAGAAATGAGGATGTAAGTTTATTTGAGAGCTGAGAAAAAGCTGGTTGTTATGCTTCAGTTGTTTGCTCTTTTCAATACTGTGTACACAGTGATAAGTTGATCTAAATCCTAGGAAGTTCAGGAGAGTCACTCCAGTGATTTTTAGCAGAATGGATTGGCTAAGAGTCCCTAAAATACCTATTCTCAATTAATATCAGCTCTTGCACAATCTATGGCACTCTTTCAGGCACTAAGTGGAGCAACTGGAATTTGTAAACCATAAAAAAAAAAAAGGGAGAAAAAAACACCTTATTGAGTTCTTTTCCAATGTGTGGAAGAAATGTGGTTGATGATGTCATCTTTCCTCCTATATTCTGTGGTGTCTCTGTTAGGACAGCTCCAATCCTGAATTTAATCTAGCCTCTAGAGGAAGGTGGGGGAAAACTGCCTATTGATTTCAGTGACCCCGTTCAGTCACTTAAACTATTTTTCAGTCAGACTTTCCAAATACTGTTACTCTAAAGTTCTGACTTCCTGAACTACAGAAAACTATCTCACCAGATTCTTATAGGGCAAAGCTGAGGCAGGGGAGTCTGTCCATCTGGGGTAGTGCAGCTTCTTCCATCGGGACATCTACAAGGGGGTTTGGATATTGTTCAAATGCAGTGTTAGTGTAAAAATGGACTAATACAGGCCTCATCCTACAAAACTGTCGCCTGGAGTACCTGCCAAGTGAGACCTTTTACATGTGGGGATTAATTGGCGTAATCTTTGAATGTTGTTGCTTCCAGCTGCTCTACACAGATTAGTCTAGCAAATTGGAAAATCTGTGGGTTCTTCCAAGCACATGGGTTAATATATTCTTACTTCAAAAGTTCTGCTGCATGTACTGTGTGAGGAAAAGAAAAGCATGAAAACAAGACTTTGGAAGGTAGGCAAAAAGTCAACGTTTGTTTCATGATACATCTGGGATCTTACCACCCGGGTAGGCTTGAGAAGCAGACTTTCCAAATAAAAATAGCAGGATAATAAAACAATCATAGTAAAAAGCAATGGCGAGGTACTTCAGAAATCTACATTTTACAGAAGTGTAATCATGATTTAAAAATACAGAAACAGTGACTCAAAAGAGGGAGAGTGTGGGTGTTTGCTGGGGATGAGTCAAAAGAGAAGAAATCTCAACTCCAGAAAGCAAATGCAGAAGATAAAGCAGTGTAAGTAGAGCCTGTAAAAAGGCACACCAAATTTATGCATTTGTTCTGCATCCTGGGCTCATCTCTGTTATGCAGAAGTCATTGATTAACTGACCCTAAATTGAAATGGGGCAATTAGGCAGAGTAAAATGTCTACAGCATAAATTATACAAGGAAAGTCTGAAGAGAGCCTTCTCTTTGTCTTTAAGACATGCCAGCTGTTTCTT